TGAGTTAGGTATGGAGTGTGATTTCTTTTTACTGAGTAATAATCTCTGAACTATTCCTTGCTGATGTGCTTGCTGCACTGTTTCTGTAACTATTGAATTAGATTTTTAACTTCATTCTAGTCCTTAAGGGCTCATACGCTGAGTAACGCCTATAGGAATAAGACCAGGAATCAACACCACTTGGCAAGGGAATGAGGGGATGTTTCTGTTAGAGGCAGTCAGTCACTCTCTGACCTTTGTGCTTTGGGTGTGGTTGCTAATTTTTGGCATGTCCATGTGCTTTGTGCTTTGGGTGTGGTTGCTAATTTTTGGCATGTCCATGTGCTTTGTGCTTTGGGTGTGGTTGCTAATTTTTGGCATGTCCATGATGAGACCCAAAGTGACCTGGGCTTGTTTTCGAGGACAGCTGGGAAAGGGAACTGGAGAGAACACTTCCTTCTCCCCAGCCCCATGGGAGTGTGAGATCCCACAGGAGGGAATGGGGGAGAACAGCTTTAAAGAGGAAGGGAGGGCAGGCTGCTCCCTTGGGCTATGTGGAAAGAAAGTGAGGCCTAGGGGACTGTCTGGGGTTGAGAAGTGGCAGCTCCTGACACTGGTACATGTTTCAGATGAAAAAAAGAAAGAATCGTGACTACCACCAAGGCCATTTCATTGTATTATATGCTGAGCAAGGAATTTTATAGGTGGAAGATCCTGCTTGGATCTTGTCCACAGAGGAGTGTAACTCAGCAATTCAGATAATTATAATAGAGTCCCTTGCCCACCTATCGCCATGAGCTCTGAAGACAGTGTAACCAGGAGAAAGAATAATAATTTTATCATTTCTTGTAGAGAATGTTATAACAAAATAGAAGTAAAAATTCAGGCAAGCAGTCTGAAGCATGAAGAACTTTGAATCTGTGCTCTGCACACACACACACATATGCACACATGATACACAATTCACAGCTAAATTGCTGAAATTATAATTTTCAGAGGAATTTGTAATGAACTTCAAATTCAGTGAAATCTTAGCAATGCCATGAGAATTTGTTGATTTAAAATATCTGTGATTCATGCAGAATAATGATGTTAAGGAAATTTCATTAGGCAAGAGGTTTTGCACAGAATAAACTATTCTGTGACATGTTGTACGTGAAGCATTTCTGTCCAGAGCCTTTAACCTTTTTGATTCAGGCGGAATTTTAGATGCGATTCAGTATGGTTATTACTGAGGGATTTATGAAAACTTAATACTCATGGGGAAAACTAAGCATTTTAATAATTGGAAAAGAAGAAAGTCATTTACACTAGCCTCCAATTTATCTGCTTAAGCTGAACTCATTTAGTTAAGCCATTAGTATACAATTTGAACTTTCTTCCATTTTCATATCAAAAATTTCTTCTGAGATTCACACTTCATTTTGTAAAAACCATTCGTGATGCCCTTTGTTGGGATGAATCCAGTGTATGGACTGGAGCCTGAATTATTTTATTCTTTCCAGTTCTGAAAGAAAAAGCAAAGACTTAATTGTGGGTTTAATTTATTCCTTGTATGTTTGGAAGAATGTTCTTCCCTGCTAGTCTTTTGCTATTTTTGGATACTCTGAACAATCTTGGAGTCTCAGAACCGTCAGTTTTCATGGGGAGTCTGCGTGATTTTCTGAGGGAAACCAACCTTCTAGACGAGAAGTGAGTCTTGCTTTAACTCAGTGTCTCTCACGCTTTTCCATGGAAGGACCACAAAGAGCAAAGCAGAGTCCTAAAGCAGAGGGCTGGAAGCAGCAGCATCTGTGAAGCTCTGGGTTTTTCTTCTGGGCAGCTTTTCATTCTGCTTGGTAAACAGGTGGTCTGGCTTAGTGGTTGTAAAACGGTTTCCATTTGCCCCCCTCCACCTCAATAAATTGATGCTCCAGAGAGATGTTTTAGGTTTGTTTTTTGGTCTTTGGCCCTAGACAACCAGCAAGTACCCTAAGGTTCTATACCTACCCAGTTTGAGAAACGTGGCCTTGGTGGGTTCAAACCCTTCTCATTGTGTCTTGCCCGGTTAGGTTTTGGGTTCAGTTTCAGTGCAGATCCAGGTAAATGACATGTCCGATTTCAGATATTTTCTTCCTAATGAATTTGTCACGGCTGTTTGCCGTAACCTGACTCTGGAGCCGTGCTTCTTTCTCTCTGGACCACTCTGTCTCTTCCCGTCACTCGGCCACCACTTGCTAATGACCCACATTGTCCTCAACCTTTTCACTGTGGGTTCCTTTCTGGATTGTTGTTGTGAGTGCCTTCTGTGCTTGTCCGTTCACTAACCCAGTGGGACTTTTGTCGCTGCGAGATGTCAGCCTTCTCCACCTTTCAGCATTTCACTCTTGATGGTGAATTGTTTTATCAGGAGGCTCAGGCTAGGTTATGCTTTGGGAGCAATATCTCAGTGGCTTAGAGAAGTGAGAAACCATGGAGATTTGTTTTTCATTCCTGACAATGTGAATGGAGGCTGCGCTTCCTGGTCCATTTGTTCCAGATCCAGGTTTCTGGAGAAGCAACCCTGTCTGGAACATTGTGGGGCTCATGGCCAGGGCAGAAGAAATGGCAGCACTTTGGGATGGCTCTTCCAGCTCAGAAGTCGCAGCACATGTCACTTCCACTTACTTTATTGGCCAAGTCAAGTTCCACAGCCAACCCTGACGTTACTGAGGCAGTAAGTGTGATCTTTTTTCCAAAGCAGACATGGTAGAGAGATATGGCACAGATAGACTGGAGTAAAATCTCCCAAAGCCATATTTTTTTCAGCTTTTTATTTACTCAGATGACATATGCCTGTCACATTAGAGATCTTCAGTAGGGGAGAGACTCACTTCTCTGTTGCAGTTTTTTCTGGGTGGTATCGAGGACCTCCTCCTGACTTTTCTGGATCCTTTCCGTCCTCTGCTTTTGCTCAAGCCTTTATCATCAGCATCTTCTCTGCGTCTCCCCCATCCTCTCCCTGGACGTTGTTTCCTAGTATACGCTACTGTTTTGGAACCACACCACAATTTGTTTTTGTTTTTGTTTAGCTCACAGCAGTTTGCTATCACACTGTGTTTCCGACTAGCTCAGCAAAATAAGGGCAGCCGAGAGTTTGGATTTTAAATTGTCCTGAGACACTGTAAAGGGAGGCAGTTGTTGGTACTTTGATGATTCCTGTTTTGCCATTCTGAATGGAACCATTCTGTTCTAACTTCATATATGCCAGCAAATGAATTAACAGTAAGCTTTTTTTATATTAACTTTAAGCTTTTATCCCATAGTGCCTGGGCTGACAGAGCTGCAAAAGTAACTTGAGCTTAACTCAAATACAGAAAACCTTACCAGAGAAAATTGCATAAATTAAACCAAAATAATGTCATTATCCTTCAAGATGCCAGTGCTATGTGCAAAATATCCTCATCTGGAATTTCTTTTGGAGTCCAGCATAGTCGTGAATAAGCACTTTTTTAAAGATTATTTTTATTAATCCTTATCTGTCTTTAAATATGATGGGCATTTTGTCTTTACTTTGTACTTGACTTTAGAATACTTTGAATAGCTGTTGCAATGCAAAATGTAATTTTCCCTGCAGTGCGTATTTTTCTGCTCAGTTATTTTAGTTTCCCTACTAGATCATAATATACAGAGGAAAGACACTACACCCCCCACTACTTTTTCTGAAAAATACCTTATGGAATTGAATGAGTGTTGGAGTTGCTATCTTATTATTGAACTCAAGGTGGTGCCCTTCTGTATGCCAGCTCTCAGCAATTTTGTTAAATGATGATGCATGTGGTTAAAATGCATGTATTTTTTATTTCCAGGTGTAATGATATAGCAGACCCTGTAGTTGCCCAGCTGTGTGCCCCACTAGCTGCCTTTTCTGAGCCCACTAGACTTATTTGCAACTGTCAATATTGGCAACTCTTTGCCTGAGGCCTTTCTCTGGTTTCTGCAGCTCTCTCTGTCTTTATATAGACATTCTGGGGAATTAGTGTAACCCAGGAGCAGCTCTCAACCAGTAATTGACAGGAGATCAACACCCCAGATCCCATGGCTCCCAGTTAGGGCATCTTATGGTGTTTGACTGATTCTGTCTCCCAGAGTTTCCCAGAGGGACTGAGGCCCAGCTGCCCTTGGTGGTAGCCTGATGGTGACACCTGGTATTGGCTTTCTTCCCTTCCCCACCTCTTCTGCACTCTGCTCTTAACATTTCTTAGATTAACTCCAAATTAAAGTCCTTGCAATCTAATCCTAGTTTCAGAGTCTCTGAGTTTCTAAGGGGAAGCCAAACCCAAACCAAGCATTCCTATGTCAGAATTTACAAGTTAACAATTTCTCTGTTACAGTGCAGTCCCATAAAAATATAATGCAAACCACATACATAGTTCACAATTTTCTAGCGTGGTCACTAGAAAAAAAAAGTGAAAGAAACAGTAACTTTAATAATGTAGTTTATTTAACCCAATGTATCTAAAATATTACCATTTTCACCTGTAACCTATATAAGACATTTTGACTTTTTGATGCTAAGTCTCTAAAATCTGTATAAAATATACTTACACTGTAATGTAAGATGTACTTATGATACACTGTAATGTAAGATGTACTTATGATACATCTCAGTTTGAACTATCCACATACAAGTATCAACAGCCACATGTGGCGAGGTACTACGGTCTTAAATAATGGTGATCAGTTCCTTATGGCTGTTGACAACCCATGTGTCAAAATCTACACACTTGATATCTCTTGAATATACAGGAGGCTGTATCATGGATCATATTTTCTACTCCACAAATTCCTGCCTTCTCTTATTGCTTTTCTAAGCTTAATAAAATCTCTGCGAGCATCTAGTCAGATGGGCACTATTCCCTTGTTTAGCCTGTGTGCACATATTCATGCTTTTTCAAGAGTGAGCTTCTGGCAGTGGTAACGTTGAGACTTACTGCTTCTTACATGTTTGCATGCAAAATAAGGACTATTGTTTAGCATCTCTGTGCTCGTGTGTCTTTCAGGCGGAGGGTACCAGACTTCAGCGAGAACTCCGGGGATATTTAGCAGCCATCAAAGGTAACGTGTCTGAGCTGTTTCACTGTGTGTGACCAAGCACCGGTTGTTCTTGGAATTAATGAGTGGTGGGATTGAGTGTTAATTTACAAAGCCATTTGTCTTCCTGGCAGGATGGGTACTTGAACACAGGTGTTCCATTCCACCTACCCCCCCCCCCCCAAATTGCCATTGAAATGATAATGAGAATCTGCCAAAAAAAGTGTCTGCCCTTATGCTGGAAACTAAGAATAAATGCCACCTACGTGCTAGAGATTTCTAGGAAGATTGTTAGATAGAGGGAGCTTGAGACTTTGTTTAAGAAAAGCCGCAGCTAACTCAGATCCTGAGGGAGAGCTTGTCCCAAGAGAAGAACATAACAGACACACACTAAAGCCCTCTCCCTGGAAAAGTGAGGGAAGGTGGCAGAGGCAGGTGGAGAGTCTTCAGGAAGTGCGGCCCTGGACTGCCTGTGCCTGTGTGGATCTTCAGCACTTGCAGCCCGTCCAGTGTACAAGGCGTGTGAATGGGGAGGCTGTGGGGCTGATGTCTGGACTCACCAGTGCAAGGCAAAGAAACGAGGCCAGTGGGAGGGAGAGAACAGGAGTGGGAGGTATGTGCAGCCCAGGCCTTCTCTCCATCACCATGCTCCCTGCCCCGGGTCTGAGCCACTGGTACCCATGGTTAGGACCTGTCAGTCAGATTTTGAGGTTAGTGGAGAGAGAATGGATCTCCTGATAAGGGTGTTGGGAAAACTGGCCAGACAAGTAGAAAACAGTGAGATTCTCCGTCTCACTCTTGATTCCCTCCTTCCCAATTCCAGATAAAGATTTAAATATGTATACAAAGACATGTGCTAAAGTGCTGGAATAAAATATTTAGTCTTGGGTAGGCAAGGTTTTTATAATGATCATACTCAGAAACCACAAGACTGAAATATTGTCATTCACAAGGGGAGGGGGGAGGATGGGTGGAGGGAGGGTGAGTGACGGGACCACATCTATGGTCCATCTTACAAGGGTACAGGTGAATCTTTTGAAGTGTAGAATATAAATGTCTTAACACAGTAACTAAGAAAATGCCATGAAGGCTATGTTAACCAGTTTGGAATATTTGAAATACAAATATTTCAAATTGTATATAAAATGAGCACACTGTACCCCATGACTGCATTAATGTACACAGCTATGATTTAATAAAAAAAAATAAAAACACCATTTTGGCAGCATTTTTATTGAAAGTGAACCAAGGCATAAAGAAGTAAGTAAAAGAAAATGATTTGGTTAAATAAAAAATGGGTAAAACACATGAACAGCAAATTAGCCACAGAGGAACTAGAGATGAGAAATAAATGTGAAAAATGCTTATCGTCACAAGGAGTCAAAGAGTATTAGGAAGAATCAAAAGGAAGTTGCTGTCTTTTTTCCTCCACATGTTAAAGACATTAAAACACAAATATCATAATACCTAATGCTGGCAAAGCCGAGAAGCGTGGACCCCTTTTGTGCATTACGAGTAGGACAACTTTTTTGGAAAACAATTTGGCAAAAGCCATTAAGTGAGTATTCTCTTTTTTTATTCTTTAATGTCACGTCTTTTGACAGTTCTATTTCTAAGAATTGATTCTCAGAGTTTCAATGTGGATGTATAAAATTGAGATAAATGAAGTGCAAAGAGGTTTCTGTAGCTTGTCTGTGGTCACATGCCTGGCGAGCAGCAGGGCTTGAAACTCTGTTGTGTCTTTCTCCTGAAGCTTGATGTTTATCCGTTGTCTTCTACTGCTCTTGGACTTTATTGTAGGGCATTAGTTTCACGAATTCGAGTTCATCTACACAATGGAATAATGGCCACTTAACTAACATTACTTCTTATTGAGCAAGCCTCAGGGGTCCTCAGACTTTTTAAACAGGGGGCCAGTTCACTATCCCTCAGACCATTGGAGGGCCAGACTGCAGGCCCCAGGACGAGTCGGCTGCTAAGCAGGACAGGCAGTGGCGGCAAAAACACCCGGTGGGCCGGATAAATGTCCTAGGCGGGCCGCATGTGGCCCATGGGCCGTAGTTTGAGGACGCCTGCATCTATACTAAGCATTTTAGGCATATCACCTTTGTAATCTTCTAATGCAGGTGTGATCAATGTCATTAATTCCCTTAACTCTGTTTTACCTTTGCAAAGAAGTAAGGCTCAGAAAATTTAACTTGTGCAGATTCTTAGAGCTCATAATTAATTGTTCCAATATTAACCTTAAGTATTTAATAGTTTAGTCCGAAAACAGAACCCACTCCAGTTATTTCTTTCATTATTTATTTAAGATCTGAACAAGAAGTTATACATTATTTTACTAATGATAATAGTTGTTGACTATTTATGTGCCTGGACTTTCTCTATGTTTGCTGTTATTTTTTATGTTGATAAATTTGTTGAATGAATGAGTGAACTATAGAATTTGGTCTATTTTACCTCCTTGATATGAAGGAAAGCTGCTTATAAAAACTGGTAGAATTTTTTCCTTAATGTGGTCTAGAAGGAGACTTCACTGAGCGAGGCTCCAGAGAGAAGCTGGTGACACATCAAAGAGACCTTTCTATTGGGCTGTGCCTGGATCCCACTTCTAATGGTCCCATCTCCATGTGGAGGAGAAAGGACTTGACATCAGCTTCACCCCTTCTGGGGTTCTGCTGATTGATTAATGATATAATAAGTGATACTCCAAAGAAGGAAATGCCTGTTTAAATTACTTTGGCCAAGGTTTTATAGAATGAAACAGGTTACTACTGACTTCTGAAAAGTCGATTCCAGAAGGCCTATGGGGTAGACAGGATTCCCCCATTACTGGATTGTAGAGTCCTGTCCTCTCGATGTCCTATGAAGAATTAGTAGTGTTCCTAGGAGTGACATTTTGGGTTTGGGGAAAATACTTGATGACAAAGGATACGATTGAGTAGACCATAACTTGCATTTTCAAAGAGCTTTCATGGTGAATTGTTTTTGGTTTTTACAAAAAATAACTCTAGGCAATTAGTCATACTGTAACACAGGCAGCCTGGTAACAGTATTAGAGCAGAGTGAGACCTGGTCCTGGAGAGTCCTGGGCCCTGGGACGACTGTGGGAGAATCCCTGAGCTTCTCAGTTTCCATTAGTCTCTCATCTAAGTTCCTCCACTTTTCTCTGAAGCCCCCAAAAGTTCTCAATGGGGATTCTTTGAAATTGGGTTAAATGAATTCTCCCGTTCATCTTACTATCCTAGATTTCTGGGTAGCGTTCTCTGAAGGTCTTTATGATTTCTGCTGATGCTTAGGCTTATGCTCTCATTCATTTTAGCAGTAAACAAACATGTCTTGAGCACCATTTGCGTGACTGACACTGTTTTAGGAGGTGAAGATGCAGAGATGAACAAGGCATGGCACCTGCTCTTGAGTTTGCAACAGAGATGGGGAGACAGTTAAATAAACAGAAAGGCCAGATCTGGTGGTAATACATATTTTAATAGACACATGCATTGAGTGGATAGGAGGATAGGAGATGGGATCAGGAATGTTCCTTCCAGGAAATCTAAAACTTGAATGGACCCAGGAAGGGGTGTAGGTAGTCATCAAGTAATTAAGTGTGCTGGAGAAAGAGAGTGATGGTGGAGGGACATTCCTCAGAGAAATGGCCAGATCAGGAGGCAGGAGGAAGCCTGAGCTGTGTGGGAAACAATCAGAGCAGTGAGGTGCAAGCAGAAAACTGAGCTACACGAGACATGGAGTGGTGTAAAGAAGGGCTTTGTGTATATCACACTGTGGTTTTATTCTGGCAATGGGGAGGAGAATTGTTCAGTTATTACAGGCAAGGGGATAAGTCATAGGATTACTTTAGAACAATAGTTACTGGGATTCAGTGGAATTCAGAGTAGAGGAAATGAAGCTGCAAGGAGATTTATTAGAAGTCTAGTCTAATAATTTAATAATAATGATGATGATAGCTAACTTTTTTTTTTTTTTTTTGGAGACAGAGTCTTGCTTTGTTGCCCTAAGTAGAGTGCTGTGATGTCATAGCTCACAGCAACCTCAAACTCTTGGACTCAAGTGATTCCCTTGTCTCAGCCTCCCGAGTAGCTGGGACTACAGGTGCCCGCCATAATTTCTGGCTATTTTTAGAGACAAGGTCTTGCTGTAGCTTAGGTTGGTCTCTGAACTCCTGAGCTCAAGCAGTCCACCCACCTCAGCTTCCCAGAGTGCCAGGATTATAGCGTGAGCCACCACGCCTGGCCGTAGCTAACATTTATTGACCATTTATTTGCTAGGCTCTGTGGTATACCTTTTAAATGCCTCATTTTGTATAAATCTGCCTTATAGCAGGTATTATTATTTATTGATATTTTATACTTTGGAAAACTGAGGTTTTGAATTTTGCCTACAATTGCTTAGATTGTATGTAACAGAGCCAAGATTTTAACAGAGGCTAGTGATTTGTCTTAACTGTCATGCCATATTGCCTCCAAAAATATTTTTCATAATAATGGCTGACATCAGAATGTTTGCTGTGTGCCAAGTGTTTTGCTAAACCATTTTACATGGATTATTCCGTGTACTCTAAATTGTGGGTAATGAGAACCCAATCTAGGGCGGCATTAGAGAAGGAAGGGGCTAGGTTGGACAGTCAGGCAGAATTGGTGTGTCTTGGCAAATTGGGCTTGGGAGGGTAAATGTAGCATGACTTCAGGTTTTCTAGCTGGGACAAGTAGGTGACATTCATGAGAATTGGGGAAAGGAGTAGGAGGAGGTTTGGACAGGAAAGTGAGAAGTTTGTTTTGAACTTGATTTGAGTTATTGGTAAGATGTCAAAGTAGAGATGGTGTCATTTGGAATTAGGAGTCACAGGCATATAGGTGCAGTGGAGACCAGACACAGGTGTGTTGGACACACAAAATCTTTCTCTAAATTTAGGAGCATGGCCCAGGGAGTGTCATTAAAGGTTGTTAGATTATGTGACTTGTTATGTGTAGACATAACTCTGCAAGGGACAGGGGTAACTCTTCTAA